AAGAAAGCTCAAGGAGAAAAAATTGCTCCCTACGTTTTTAAAATCAATGATACCCAAACTCTCCAGGAATATCTAGAATCACTTATGAAATTTACCAATTTTTAAATTACTTTCTTACCTTTAATTAAGGTCATTTCTTAGTTTCCTTGATTTCAATTTGAGCCATTCATTGACCATTCTGTTCTTACTTTTTCTTTACAAGAATTTAGTTCATCAATTAGTTCTTGGGGAGTTTGTTTTTTCAATTTTTCTACTTCTGCTTCTAGTTGCTTAATTCGATCTAACAACTCTTGTTTTTGTCTTTTATGCCAATCTTCTGAGGCTTCCAAATGGGTGTCTATTTCTGTCTCAACTGTATTTAATTCTTCTCTTAAGCCATTGATTTGTCATTCATAAAAAGCATATGGTCTCCCTCCATTAGGTGAAAGTGGAAGTTCTTTTTCTTCCACATCTTTATTATATCTAACACAATTGCAAAGAGTATCTCTACTCAATTTAGTCTGTAACCTTTTACATCTCTTGCATTTTGGTAATTCATCATTCTCAAATTTTTCTTTACACCTTTGACAAACACAATCATTTGCTACTAACTCTTGGTAACTTTACTTCGCGTTCTAATTTGACAGACTGGTTGATTTTCAATATTTTCAAACAAGAGCAAAAATTGCAAGTTTCCCCTTTATTTCATTCTTCTAACTCTAAGATTGTATAGAGTAGTTCTCTCATAATTATTTAACTCTAACCTCTATCCAAGCCAATAACTCTTGACTTCGATATTTAGTTTTTTCAACTAAGTGGTGAAGTTAAGTTTTTGCTTTTTCTTTAAATACTTTAAATTTACTTGGTATTTTAGGTAGAGGTTTATTATTCAAATACAGGTTATTAGTTAAACTCACTTGACCTTGTAAATCCTCAATTTCAGTTTTTTGATTTGCATTTTTTTCAAGTTCTTTTCTCAATAATTCTCCTTGTCCATGCTGTTTTGTTTCCAGCTGTTCAGTGTATTCTTTCTGAGATTCGTTTTTCTTATATTCCTTATCTAATTGTGCTAAAATTTCATTACCAGCATTTTCCAATATTCCAATTCTCTTATTTAAATTGTTTACTTCTATTTTCTGTAACTCACCAGCAAATTGCATAGCTCCAAAATGTGTCTTGTTTTCATATCAAGAATCGGCTTCCAATTCTTTTTGCTTGGCTTCTAACTGTTGGATACAACTCAACTATCGATAAATGGAATCCAACTGACTCTGAACATGATCGACCCTGCATATTGTCCCTGGAATCAACCTCGGTATATGAAATCTAATGCATAACGAAACCTCATTAGACTTTCGTCATAAAACTCGGTTAACTTATCGCAAGCGATTCAATACTGAAAATGATCAAGTTCGAACGAAAGGATAATAAATGCAAAACGTTCTTAAGTCTCCCGAAGCGACTATCGTGAAGAAGGAGCAGAACAATATAAACGTAGCGATATGGAAGCTGGTTAACTATAAGACTTCCGCTGCGATAATGAAAGCTATAATGAAATAAAGCTCTATTACGGACATATTAGTTTTTTTATTACATATAAAAAATTTGTCGAACTAAGTAAATTACAACTGTGCAATACTTTTGTCACCCCCCTGTAGGCAGCTGGTATGTTTTGGATTGTTATCTTGTTGGAGCTGCCATTTATTTTCCATTATTTGATAAACTTCTGGGATATGTTTTTGAAGTATTTCTACATAGTAATAGAATAATGGTCTTTCACCTTTATTATTATGCCAGCAATTTATGGTGTTATGGAAGAGCTGAAAGGCTGTCTCATCCATAAGTAGTGTTTTTTTCTAGTTATTGTTAAGGTGCTTTTTGGCACATTCAACACATCTTTTCTTATGGTCTGGGGTAAGCATTGGTGTTGTAACTGGAAGACTTTTTATAACCAATACTTTTCAGATGCCTTGAGACAGTTACATACAATGCTTTGATATCTTCTTTTGACAGTCTAGTTTGAAGAATTGTATCAAATTTGTTGACCAGTATTTTTAACCTGCTGCAGTAATCTTCTTTGGTCAACCACTTCTACTGTTAGGTGTGTTGTTACCTTTTTTTTCTAATTTTTTAATATTATAATATATTGTTTGAAGTGATATATTTGTGAGATTATGAAGCTTTTTGGCAGTATGCACTCCTTGGTTCCAAAAATGTAATAAAACTTGATGGTGTTGTTCTTTCTCTGATACTGGAGGTATGTTTAATTAGAATTGTTTATAATACATAAGCAATGTCAATTTATAGTACAATAACAAATGTTTATGTTTATTATGCATTTTACGTGACGCGATTTGATACAAAATTGGAAGAGCTACGCGTATTTTTGTTATGCCAATTTTTTTGCAAAAACTTTTGTAACACACTGTATATGGAGGGTGGACTGTATATTGATTCGAACGATAAGTTGTCCTTTACATTCATACCGCTTGATTCGTTTTCGATTCGTATCTTTAAAATTATCAAGAATATTTGATTGACTACAGTTATAATAAACAGTAGCGATATTCCCTGGGTCACGCGCGGAATTATTTGTCTTCCACTTGCTGAATAAATTTTAGTCAATAATTGTATTCTTAGACCTTACATCAAAATAACGTAGTATACCGTATCCTTCCGAATTTAAGCACCACTTTTTTTAGGGGAAAATCGGGACAAAATTCCTAGTGGTGCTTAAATTCGGAAGATTTTTTTTGTACGCCATACCCCTTACTCCGCATCTTTTCTTTACGCAATGCCAAAAATTCAACGCTCATCATATTCTGCTGCTGAAAAGCTTAAAGTAATGCAATGGATGGATCAGAAGACAATTTATTTGGACAAATGGAGGAGGAAATTGATGAAAATGAAAGGGAAATTGTAGATATAGATAGTGATTCAGCTGATGAATTAGAAGAGGAAGAATTAGAGTAAAAAATATAATAATAAAAATTTTTTACATAAATTTTGGGTGGTGCTTATTTTTGTTTTTCAAGTTTTTCCGTCTAAAGTCCGGGTGGTGCTTAAATTCGGGTGGTGCTTAAATTCGGAAGGATACGGTATACTTACTTCCATTTGTGTCCGTCGCCTTCTGCAAATTTATCTCAGCAATTTGAGAGATAGAGTTCTCTCCTTTCTTCATTGTCAAATATAACGTCTAATTCGACACTAATTCGCTAACTAGTTGAGACAGTTCAACTTCCCAACGTTGTCTGTTTGGATGTCAATGGCTGAAAATGTATCGGTCCGAATATTCTAATATTCTGATGAACCACCTTCTAATTGATTTAGAGAATTCTTATGAATGATGTGTCTTTCTTTCTTTTATTTAGACACTGAACGCACGTTTTGGATAGGGTCTCGTTAAATTTTTTAAATCACTTTCTGAAAGAGTCTTTTTGCAATTAGTACGGCGCGGCACGTTTGAATAAATGCGAACGATTGAGGTAGGCTTCTCAATTTATTTCTGTTCAAATTGCACGATATTATGCTGGGCGAACAAGACGATGTTGAGCAATTTCTCTTTATTTCCAATTCGTTACGTTTTGTTTGGTAAAAAAAGGCGATTGCAAGTGCGAGAATAGAATCTTAGTTCAAAGACTTGATAATCATGTTTCTAACATCTTTATGAGCATTACCGAATTGGAGATTTTGTTATAGTATAAAAGAATAAAATGTAAAAATTATTTGTAAGAAGAGAATTATGAAATAAGAGATTAACAAAGCAGAGACAGGTCACAAAAAATAAATACGAAGAAATAAGACTATTCCTATTGTTTTATTTGCATTTCTCTCAACTTTTTCTTATTCTTGTCAACAACTGTCGTTTTATTATACAATTTTACCAAAAAAGGTAAAGAAGAGAAGAATAGTTGAAACCACGTTAGCACCGAAATTAAATTCCAGCAATACAATGACAAACGCGGATATGGTGAAGATCGTCTGTGTTGTTGTGTTGACATATCGGGTCGATTGTTGTCGCTCTAATTTATGGAAAATTTATCAAGATCAATGATCAACCAATCACATTTCGATCTGTGTGTGAGTTTTTACCTAATTTCGTCTTCATCAAGAACACAATTAATTTGTTCGCGTACTGCTTCATCTTGAATACCAAATAAATACATTATGCGGACTAAGATAATAAATCTTACTTACCTGTTGATCAGAATAGGGTACGTGAACTGGGGGGTTGGATATCGGTAGTGTCACAAATATATGAAGAACAACCAGACAAAGTGAACATTAATCATATTATAGAATGTCATACGATTATCTGTCATCTCGTGCCATCTCATGGTTATGTTTTCTTCTTTTGGGCCGCAACTTCTTTTCTTTGTCTTGCTCACGTGATAAAAAATTTACTTGTGAAGGCAGCCGTTGTAACAACAATATAATCGTTTTCAAGGTCGATAAGAAATTTCATTATTTAAAATAGCAAATACCGATGCAAAATCGTCATCGCAACAATTTTATTAGCAATGCACCGGATTATTGTCAAAGTTTTTCACTTGCTCACTAATGTTTGTTGCTTAAAATCACACATGTAGCAGCAGCTGTTTATTTTTTGGAGCGGTGAGTCGGAATTATCTATTCATTTAAAAAGAAGGGGTTATTTCACATAAATATCTGCTGCAAATTGACAATATAATCGTTCGCCACAACATTTCATTCGCCATTTTACCTTATGTTTTTAAAATCCCTGAGCACATCCTTTGAGCTTGGATTTGCGTTGTAACCAAGGGTAGAATAAATTTATCATTTTGATAAAAACTTTTGAATACTAATAAAAGCAAAGAGTGATTGCATGGGAGGAAATACTTATTAATAAGTATAACCTACCGCAAACTCTCATGAATAAGGGCCCCCTTTATCACGTAAGGGGCTCTTATTCATGAAAGTTTACGGTCATTCTGGTGAGTATCTAAACTTTACTATTTTCTTTGCTAATATTATCTTCAACATCATTATCAGAGTTGATTCCTTCAGTTTCATTGTTATTGCCTTCTTTCTTCCCAAATTTCTTCTTTTCCTCATCAATCCTGCGGGTATTTCTTATCGTAGAAGCAGCAGGGGCTTACCTTCGCCAAGTAAATTATAAGGTAAACAGAGTAATTTGATGGATTACTATTACGGAATTATTACAAATTGCACTATAATGGAGTCAATAAAGAAGAAGATTTATGGTCATTACAATCATACTTTATCAAAGTAAAAGCATTTTTGACTATAACTACATGCAGACTTGTATGTACATTATACATAATACGTGTTTCCATTCTTTAAATCTACAGCTTGTTTACACATTGTAAAAATGCTAGATTAACAGAAAGAAATGAAAATCAGGCGAGTGGAATAAAATGATTGCTAAATAGACGGAAACAGAAAAATAAAAATAAAATTTTTTGTAATAATAATAAATCCGAACTCGCCAAATTATCCCCTTACGCTTTAAAATCTCGATTACGGAACAGTGGTTTTGCATGATCTATTGTAAGTATGCTCTAGTTTATCAACTCTACTTACAAACGGGCTAATAAAACTTTTAACTTAGTAGGAACTTTAACTTCTCCAAATTACCCTGTCTACCTTATATTTCAAATCTCAAATGAAAATGTTGGATCAATGGCGGTATAATCGTATTAGATTGTTCCACAACTTTTCGAGTATCGTAATGTAATCATTTTCGTAAAGTATAAGTAAACCAGTGCTGTTTTTATTATTTTTTCGTTTGTTCATCATACAGTCGAAGCTCATTATAATAGAAATTGGGCAAACCCATAAACTCTATTATAGCATTATAACATGTATGATTTAATACAAATTGTGAGAAAAAAGTTCTTTTACAATGCGATTCCATGGATGGGTTTTGACTGTAACCGGCGGATCGTGAATTTCTGCACATCGATTATCATAATCGAGTATCCTGGATACTAAAATAAACAAGGGGTACCCATGTCGGAGAAACACGGTATATATTAACTACCGATAGTACAATCACGGGAAGCTCTACAGAATAAACATGGCCACGCTGAAAGAAAAACTGGCAGAGGTAGAAGATGCAAGAGAACTCCTTGGCAACTCCTATGAAGTAACTAAGCAACAAGTCATAGCTTCATTCGTGCGTACACACTCAGGTAACAACTTTATGACTTGGGCATTGGAGACAGACATAGTAATACTTTTCTTTTATTACGCGTTTGTCACTTAAATGGCAGGTAGTATACAGTAGAGCGGGTGGAGTAGAAATAGTTAGATGTGCTGAGGACATAGAGTAGAGTCATATATAAGACCTTTTTGGAACTGGTGGCGGGTAGCAACTTGTGACTTGGGCATTGTGACATAGAGTAGTGTGTAAATAGATGAGGTAGAGCGAGATAAAGTAGAGTGGACATAGTAATGTGGGGTGTAATATAGTTTTATTGTGAGAATGTTATTGTAGCTGGAGTTAACTTTTTTCATTCATGTTACTCATGCTGTGTATTCCATGTTATCTCTTATCTCCACTCATCTTCTACTGTCTCTTCTTTATTCCTTATCTTGCTTGCAAACAATCATTAATTATAATAGCTGCTCAAGGTAGGTAATGACTTTGTGACTCAGTGTACATAGGGTAGAGCAAACAAAGTGACATGGTAGAGCCACTCACCCATTCTTCTCTGTTACATTCAAAATATCCACATGGCATAATATATACATTAGTGTAGCTTTAAATAATTCCTTTCTAATAATGTCATGCACTGCTTTTTGTTGCTGTCTGCCCATTGCCACACTTATTTTCTTTTTGTGCTCTACATATCCACCACTTGCTCTTCTAACTTCAACTCCATCATATTGCACATTGTCATGTAGATTATCCTGGAACTCTTTTGTCATTCAAGGACATTATGAAGACAATTACATCAAACTTCCAATCCTTAAAGTGATCCAATAAACCTGCAACAGAGTACATTCCATTGCAAGGCCGTGACTTCATTCAGGATTTAACAACAATTAAAAACAACATTACTAATTCAAGCACTTATGAATGGAAACCAGCCACTGTGGCAAAGACAGAATACAAAATTCTTGTGGCTGGGGGAACTGCAGGAATAGGTATTTGAGTTAAGTCCTTTATTATCCAAACTCATTCTAATACTAATTATAGCTCAATATCATATCAGGAAAAACCCGTTATGGCAGAGAACTGTTCAAGAAGTTAAAGCAAGATGTAAACCTTCAAGAAAGCATTGAAAAACCAATTGATTTTGTATATATATTACTTGACTTCAGCAATGGTGTTCAGTTGGATGCAGGTGACAGTGAACTGCCAATAGTAATAGAGATACTTGTTGGTTTGCAGATAGCATATGCCTTCTTTATTGGGAGCAATTATGATGTGGCATTTCCCACATTCCGTCAGACTGTTCAACTGCTCAACCTGATGAGTCGCTTTAATAGTGATACTGTAATTACTGGAATTCGCCAGCATCTAAGTCCCAGTGGTGACCGCCTTCTCTGTTTGTTCTTACACATAGATGAATTTCAGAACATTTTTGAATTTCCTGACTGGAAGGCTGACAAGAAGATAGGTAAAGACAGTAAACCCAAAGGTATATTCAAGGGCATATTATATGAAGTTGCACAGTTTATGCTTGGCAAATCCAACCTGCGCTTTGTTCAGCCATTCCTCTCAGGAACTGCTCCACAGGACATAGCTTGGCAAAAAGAACCTACCATGTACTCTTTTGAATTTGTCAATTGTTCTCTGTTGACTATGCAGGCACGAATCAATATAATGAACCATTTTGCAACCACAAGTGGCTTTTCTGAGAAGACATGGGACCTGGAAGAACGGATGTATTTTCTGTTATGTGATACAGGTGGACTTCCACGAGCAATCCAGTGTTTGTTGGAATGTTGCTTCGGGAATAAATATGATAGAACAGAATATTTTTTTAAGAATATTGATTCATTGAATTATGATGACATTCACAATAACATGGCAAGAGACCTTGACACTATGTACGGAATCACAGAATGGGCTTTTACAAACAAAGAACTTGTTGAAGTCATCATAGCTCGATGTCTTGCAATAATTCCATCAAGGAGGTCGGACTTGCTCTCAGACAACCACTCTGAGACTCTGGAATCTTTAGAACGTGATCAACATTTGGTTCTGACAGATTACTCTGAAGACGGTCATGTCTTGATTACAGTACCGCCTATTTTCATTGATATTTATATCCGAGCCCTCCGCTCACTCACAGGCACATTGAAAAAGTCATTCTTACCAGGATGGGTAATGGAATGGAACGGTTTTGAATTATTTGTTGCGGAATATGTGGCATTCCGCATTAATGCTCTCATTCGCTTGGGGCATAAAACGGTGGCCCTCAAAAACATTTTCCGGGGTGCTTATGGTTCCACGACGTTATTAGATAAAAAAGTTGAACTCCGCAATACCACCGTCAAGCAACTCCGCAATAAGTTTCCTATGACTGCATCTGTTATTGATCAACAATCTGAAAAAGTAGACTTCAAGTCGGGAATGATTGTAAATGGGGATAAGGCACCATTTGCCGACTCTTTTATTGTTTTCGTAAGTGTTTGGAATTTAAAAAATGTTATGTTTCTTTGAGAAGCTGGTACTTTTGCTCACATCTCATTAAAATATTAGGAGAAATCGAAACTAATTGTAGGCATCCAAAATAAATTGCGGAAGGGCTCTTTTGAAGAATCCGATATGTGGGAGGAGCACGAGAAAAATGTGACCGCAATCAAGAATGCACCGGCTGGGCTTTGCATTAACAATTATACTGTTATTACGGTATTCATATCGTCTGCCAATTTCAAGGGAAACATTGCTGACTACTGTAAAAAGCCTCTAAAAGACTGCCTTATGATATATCGGCATAACTTTGAAGACTTTTTTGGGCATGTCCTCAGCTGCCGCGCTGCTGTGCAAATTTCTAGAGAATGTAATCCAAATTTTACTCCTCCAGATCGTTGGTTATCAGTTTTTGGTTATCAGTTTCAACGAAAGTACCAGATCATATTGTAGAACAAGTCCCTAAAAAAAGGCCTTTACGTTCACCTCAAGATGTGTACAATCTCGATCCATGGTTTCAAGGCTACCCAAATGATATTGATGGTATGACGTTTTCATTGTATACTGACGTCATTGACCTTGCGAACTCTAATAAGAAACGTCGGCTTGATTATTATGATGAGGTTCCGCAATCGTAGGTTTCCATGTTTTTTGTCTGAATGTCAGTTTTTTTTTTTGCCATATAATGTTAATTCAAATTCTATCCTTAACGTTAAGGCCTATTCCCGAGACAGTCTCAGCAGAAGGCATTCCATTAACAGATAGCATTTATCCAACACAAAGTTCATCCTCATCTGTTTAAATTGCGAGTCGCACTAATGTAATAACAATCAGAAAGCAATTTCAGAATTTCAGAATGAGATTCTCGATTGTGAGATCCAGATGTCTTTTTTTTCATTTCCTTGGCTCGTATCTATTATTCGCACTGTATATACCGATACTTTTAGGATAGTGGGTAGCAGTAGCGCGATAAACTATTGTATTGTCTACCAAAAATACTTATTCTTTCGATTTATCCTACTGGTTGGCGTAGTTCTCGGGCATTTGAAAACAAATATTTGGCGGAAAGTGACTTTTGTACGCTGAGGAAATTTAATAACGGCTGATTTTTTTGCATGCCCGAAATGTTGGGCGGCTGGGGAAAAAAAAATTAAATATTTCAATTACGCGCTGCCTTAAAATCTGTAACCGTATCTTTAGCAATTTGAAGGCGGGTGCGACCCACTTTTTGAATCGAGCGGGCTTAAATAAACTCTTGCCTGTCCCGTTCGGACATGAGAAAGAATGCTGTTCCTCTTTACCATTTTCAACGCAATCGGCATAAATTTGATGATTTAATTCCTCAAGTTTTGTTTTACTTCATACAGTGAGATTGCACCTTTATTGAAAAAAATTGCAAAGCGATAAAAAAATTTGCGGCAGACATCCGGTATATTTGATACAGTCCCCGGCGAAAATAATGGCGGTGACAATCGTTTTTAAAGTTTTTATAAAAATTCAATACAAAAATCGGTTATCTGCTATTATAGTAATATGTAAATGTATTATTACTTTTCTTATTTACTTAATATATCAGGCATGATTAAAAATATCTTTGTCTTTATATTTGCATTTTAATAATCTCAGTGAGATTTGGATTGACTATTAACTTATAATAACTCTCAAATTTACTATAGTGATAGGATGTTCGCGTTTTTAGTCAATTAAATTTAGAAGATTAGATATAATCTAATGTAAAAAAGCTTTTACATTTGCTTTTTGTCAACTTACTCAAAATTTTATTCATAATATTATGTTTAAATTACTATAGATATAAAAGAAAGCCACTTTTCATCTTGGTTTTTTTGCAAGTTATAATGTTAGTCTTGAACTTCTGTTAAATAAAATAATTTTTTAAGAACAAAATTGATATATTGTAAAAATACTGGCCGCCATTATTTTCGCCGGGGACTATATTCTGAAATTCATAATCTTTTGCGTATCCTGAAAGTCAACCAAATACGTATTTCATTGACTCAAGACATGTTTCAATTGATTAATACTTAACTAGTCTAAGCAACAAAAAAAAGAATAATAATAATGTAACAGCTCGCTTCTTCCTCGATAACATTGCATACGTCATAAATAATATTTGTTGTCCAAATCATGCAGTTGCGCGAAAGATATCAGTACGAGGGACGTACTAGAATCGTTATTATTAGATTCTGACTCTGAAGTGCTACTGTTACTACCAGATGATTGTGCATTTACATCAACAAAATTACTGCGACTGTTCTTGGTTTTTTCTTAAACTTGTCCTTCTTTTTTAAGTTGCGAGAATTGTGCCCAGTCTTACCGCGGTTTGAGTATCGATGTCGAGACAATTTTCTGGACACATGAATTTGTGGATCGGGAAAAGGTTCTTTTTTAGAGACTTTAGCCATGTAAGCTTCAACAACACCTAATCTTTGTGTTAACTCTTCAGGAACACAGTCATTTAGGGTTGAGGCGTTTTTTTGATTAAGTATCTCCTGTGGGCACCTAAGCGCTGCGCAAGTATATAGGTGTTCTACGCCCCATTCTTCTGATGAATTTGGAAATGTATTTGAGTTGGTTGTGATATTTGTTCTTGTAAGCTCTGCTTCTAAAATAATACAACTTGCTAATGGCGTATATTAATAATTCGTAATGTTATCTGAAATATGAGTGTTTCTACTGTACAGTATATATAGATCCCGATGAGGAAATAGCTCTATGTTGCGGGCTAATGTTCTACCAACTCACTGGGTATCACTTTAATCCTCGGAGCTTATGGAAGGGGAAATATTTCAATTTTCATTCGAGAAGTGCGTGATTGGCTCATAAATCATAATAAATGGCAAAAAAATGCCCCACCGCCGAAAGATATTCCAGAGTCAGTTATGGTAAAATGTCACGTCACAAACTGTGTACATCAGTGCGATCTTTTGCGTCTTACGAACGACAAAATATATAAGAAAACATTTAAATGGGTTCTTAATGTCGTAGATGTCGCCAGTAGATACAAGTATTCTATGCCACTAACGTCGAAAAACAGTCCAGAAGTTGCAAGCGCATTTAAAATAATATATGACGACCCAAATATTCTTCTTACCTGGCCCGAGTTATGGTGGGTCGGAATTCAAAAAATCAGTAAGTCAACTAATGAAAGATCATAATTAGTAATACGAGTCGTTGGTACATACAGTCATTGTGGCATGGACGATTTAATTAAGCGCTTGCGAAAATGTTATACAAAGTTCAATATGCCATTGAAAATATATCATCAAATCCCAAATTAATAAGAGCATTGGTTAGGTACTTACCCAAAGTTCTCGATTATTTAAATAATCATCCAACGCGTCTCATTAGAGCTCCGGGATCATCGCGGTGGGGCCTAGCTCCAGCAATAGCCATAACATTAGAAAGAGTTGAATCTAGGCCATCCATAAAATATTAGCGTCCGGTTGGAAATAAGGCGGAGGAGTATGCCAAAAGACGCGGAGGGAATGTCTTAGCAAAAACTAGCAAAATAAATGGCTACGACATTTACCTTTGGTCCTGCGAAAATGACGCACATCAATGGGAATATCCACTAAAGTTGATTAGATGGTGCCCATTATGTTATCACACAAAAGGGGAAATATCGGCAATATATATTTTCGAAGATAAAAGTTTCCGCCATATGGCACCAAAATTCTTAGAATGGTTGCGTTTAGACAGTTACAATCAAGAGCTAAAATTGGCGTTTGAATTTAACGGGCCACACCATTGTTATCGGAGATCGATTTGGAATCCCAAAAAAATTGTGATTAAAAAAAGCGAGAATTATTATTAGCAAGGTAGACCTTATTGAAATTCCGTATACCTGCGATCTTTTACCTTACATTCATTGCGCATTGCAGGAAAAAGGGTATTTGAGTACCGGTCAGATCGAACATTTGCAAACGTATTCTCGAAATAAACCAAGTTAATTAAACAAACTTTAGGGTCATTATTTTTTTTCAATATAATAACCAGTGTTACTTAGCGTGAAACAGGCACTTGAAAACCGAAAAGCTTGACAAATGCGAAACGTTCGTTTATCACATTGACGATTGTAAGAACGCAGAGAGATTTAACTGTCTCAACTCGATCCCACAATGGCTTTCAATTTATTAGTCAGTGGACGAACTAAATCGGGAAAGACAAATATGATTGTCAATTTTTTACTTGGAAATAAAATGTATCGAATGTTTAATGGGAAAAAAGACGGGACACGCTATATAAAAAATGACGATCTAGTTAGACATCATCTTAAAGAACCCAAATGTCGGCACTTGAGGGATTGTTACCAAATCATTGTGAATAGTCCAAAGCCATATCGCGAAAATGTTACGTCCGATCGATGAAGCCCAACAAAATACCACAACCTATTTTCAAAAACTCAATTGCTTTTTCATATTCAGTCAAACCATTATAATTGGAATTTTTTATATACTGGTAATCCCATATATATTCTGCATGACTGTATTCTGATTTTCATTTTTCCCAAGGATTCACCGTTAATAAGTAAAATATTTATTTCCTTTCATTTCCATATGTATTTTCTGGTTTTCCCCGTATTTTGCCGTATCGACGTTCCGCTTTGCCAGCTGCGCATGACAAATCTATACAATTTTCGTATTAGTAAAAATTTTGTCCTTTTACGCCATAAGAAATTATACATATCACAGCAATCCTCGGTTCTTTTTTCGTAATTTAATAATTTAAATCAATTTCCATACATATGATCGTGTATATAGTATACACACAAAAAAGGCTTCATTGTAAGTTATTCCGATTTCCATATATATCGCAAAAAGCAATATATAAGTTGCGAATCGTTCGTTTATCGTTTTTAACAAGCCTACACCATGACACAGAGAGTTGTCAATATTACTGATGTATCTTCTTTGCAAGAATATGAAACCATCATAGATTTCGCTCCACCCTTTCCTTTTTTACCGAACCATGTACACAGTCAGTCTCAATAAGTCGGTTTTGGCTTAAGTCGGCCAAAATTTTTCGGATCTTTTTTTTTTTTTCACTATTTAAAATTCTCGGTAAGTTGGTTTCACGTGACAATTTGTAAGACGTATACAGTTTCTTCAATTTAATTGGTGGACCACACCGTACGATGATTACCGTAATTGTCCAATACAATACTTACACATTGGCTACACAAATACTTATAATTGGCAATGTTATAACAAAAGACACTATAATCATACGATAAACATTAGAATCATACAACCAAAGAGTTAAACATCATACGATTAAAGTCATACGATTAAAGTAGTAAACATATCGTTAGAATCATACGATAGACATGCACTAGACATGTCATTAGAATCATACGATAGACATGCATTAGAATAATACGATTAAAGCACTAGATATAGGCATGTCATTGGATCATACGATTAAAGCAATAAACGTGTCGTTAGAATCATACGATACGCTCAATATTGGCGTCCATCATCTCAATTAATAAAGAAATTACGTCACCTTCACGAAGAAGCATATGCTTGGATTTGATACAAATTAGTTTCATATATTTATTTTTTATATAGTAATAGAGAGAAGTCTATATTAAAAATATTATAACTTTAAGTAAGAGTTTGTATCATTTTAACCATCTACCATTAAATGGTAAAATGTTGCTTCCCTCATTTCACTCCTTATATACCATAGAACATAAAAGTCAACTCCTCCAGTCAGCAGCAGTTTGGCCATACCAGATATGGCTTGCCTACACAGATCAAGCCTTTGGTCACAAATTCTCCAGCTTGTATAGCTAGCACTATTCAGATGCGGAATGTTGCACCCACCCTTGAATCTCTGTTATGGGTCAAATTATGTGACTTTGAACCATAGATGCAACGTTAAACTGTATCGTTCGGTATAGCGCTATCGATAAGAACGACAGTCATAAAGGAAGAGTTATATTGGCATGAGAATGACTTGGCTAGTTTGTCCCTAGTAGATATCCGACTAAATTCTATTGTACGATTGGACAATCGATTGTACAATTGATATTTGTTACACTACCACAGAAAACGGTTTAATATAATAAATCGTTATGATTAGTCTTCGTTTATATTTTAACCAATGGTCACGATGTTGACTCGTCTGCACCCAAATTCTCGTTTATATTAGTATTAGAGATTTTTAAAATGACTTGGTTATTTTGTGTAATCGGCTACAAATTTCTATCTATTGCTACGGAGAATATGATAATACCTGAATAGGGTAATACACAAACTTTGTACCAGTATCGTTATTCATTATTAATTTCCTAATTTGATACCTGACATGGGAACTCTTTGAATGTTGAAGATTCCGTTCTTAACACATAATAAATGAGTCATTCTCGCTTGGATCCGCCGCGTGGTGTATTCACGCTACCGACACCTTGCGACTTGAATAATGCGTTCTGGGAGCCTGTAAAGACGAACGACCACTTTGTTTTACAACGAACAAAAGGATCGAAAAACGCAATTTTACGAGGTGTTCTTGGTACCATCCAAAACGTGTACGTTTATGGCCTTGTTAGCTGCTTGTAACGCCTGTGATTGAGCTAAATCATTTATAAAATCTATATATTTGTCTTTTTAAGATTTGACACAAAGCAACCTCCGTTTAGACTGTTATTTCGTAGCGACGTCAATACTCTTGCACTACAAATTGCAGTATCTCAGACCGAAAAGGGTATTGAGGATGCTTGGAGCTGGGCTACGGGTAAGTCTTTCATTTCGTGTACATTTGACACAATTGGTTTACCGAATTAACCTTCTGATTACGTATCATAGACAACCTCCAAGTTGGACTCGGTAAGCTGGATGATCCTACTGAGAGAGAGAATTATGTTGTAACAAAAATAAATTCTCTGGTAACAAGACAAGGTATTTGCTACAAAAAAAACAAGCGAAGAATGCTATAAGCTAAATTCGGGTATCGAGTTTACTTTGGGTATTCATGTAAAACTAGGCTGTTGAATTCGCTGATGTGATTGACTTGTTGACTATAAATTTCGATTATAGACAAGGGGACTGACGAAGTATCTGAAGATGAAAGCGTACGATCCGCTTCGAGAGCATTTCGGCAGACGTTTGATGTATCTCCAACTGAGAGATTAGTTAATTGTAAGTGCATTGCATTTACGATGCAGTCTTTGAACCGTTAGAAATAAGCTAACGGGCTGATTACGCGTTTTCTCCCAGTTTATTCTTGCGCGTATTACAAGAGTATTACCAATCAGGGTTGGATGTATATTAGCGAAAATTATCTGTGCTTTTATTCGTTTCTATTGGGAATTGAGACGAAACTATTAATCGAACTGAGAGATATCAGAGATTTAGTGAAAGAGAAATCTAAACGCGGAATGATATCTGATTCCATTAAAGTCATTACTAAAGACGGACAAGAAGTAAGTTACGAACGCTAAACCGTGAAACATGATTTGACAATCTTTGTTAACAATATTGATCATATGCTTTCTGTTATATTTAGTATTTTTTCACCAATCTCTTTCACCGCGATGAGGTCAGTCCTATGTTCATGTCTCTTATTTCTAGTTGTATTTCGATACTAAAGTATAGCGCTCTCTATTTCCATCTTAAGACATATGATTTGTTGGTACAATTAACAAGCTTGTCTGTACAACGACTGCTCAAAAATGCAACTCCAGAATCAACACCCGGAATGTCGTTATATGAAAATAACTTTGAGCAGTCCACTGACAGCAACAACAATGACAAAAATAAAAAAGATCTTACAATCAGTATAAGTAAGGATAATACCGAAGATGATGTACCAAGATCACCAATGCTACCACCTTTGATTAAAGGGCTAGAAGTGCAGAAGAGAGATAGTGAATTCCAAGCAATTTTTGCTTTACCAGCATCAGAACATTTAGTCGAAGAATGCAACGCAATATTCTCAATGCCGGACAAAAATGAATCCCATTCTGGAAAGATCAGACTCTCGGAAACGTATCTTACTTTCATGTCGAATGATGGAGAATATAGTCTTGTCTTGCCATTGTCCACAATTAGAAGAGTAGAGAAATTACAAAGTCGAATTTACGCATTTGCATTATCAGTGTTGACATGGCATCAAATGAAGTTAATTTTCCAACTCGGTGGAGCAAAAGGACAAAGTGAACAGCTCTGTAATTCTTTGAAGATTAACTTGAAGAAACAAGTGCGTTATATGAAAGTATTAAAATCGTTCTTGAATACCTGTTATTCTGAAGCATTGTTAGTGGATCCAAACAAAGATGCCTCAAATGGCGGGTTGGGGTTGACATTTGGATTCCCCCCTGATGTAAAGAAGTAGGTTTGTTTGAATGTGATTTAGTGATATAATTTCGTTTTGGCATTGGAGAGAACAATTGGTTTTTAATTCACAAGATATATTATTTCAGCCGTGATAAGCGAAAGCTAAAATTGTGGACGGATTACTTCAAAGGTACAGAAATTTCACTCGTCTATTTTGTATCTCGGTTTCTGCTAAAATTGTAACTAATTATCTTTATGCGGCGCGTCCTTGTCTCATAACATTAGATAATGGTAGAAACCTTACACTTATAAAATCTACCAAATTTGCTAAACTGACGCGTTTTGGTTTGCCAAATAAACTGCGTGGCGAGATATGGGAACTGTGTTCTGGCGCGATGTATCTGAGATACACGAATAACGGATTATACGAGAAGTTACATGAAGACAACGTCGGTAAGGTATCGCTATCCACCGAAGAGATTGAGAAGGATCTTAACAGGTTGGTCGAATGCCTTTTATTTTATGTGTTAACATAACGAACATTAGACAATTTATTTAACCGTTCATCCGTAGGTCACTTCCAGAGTATCCCGCATATCAAACACCAGAAGGCATAGACACGCTCCGTCGTGTGTTAACTGCATATTCTTGGAAAGACCCTGAGCTAGGCTACTGCCAGGCGATGAATATAGTTGCCTCTGCTCTCCTAATATACATGAGCGAAGAACAAACATTCTGGACTCTTAGTATCCTCTGTGACAGGATGCTACCTGGTTATTATAGCACTTCGATGTATGGCGCTATACTCGATCAAATGATATTCGAGCAGTTCGTGGAGAAGACAATGGCAATATTATACGAACACTTCAAGAATGCAGACATACAACTGTCGGTGGCATGCTTGCCCTGGTTTTTGAGTTTGTATATCAATTCGATGCCATTGAATTTTGCCTATCGGGTGCTAGATATATTTTTTATGGATGGACCAAAGATTTTATTTCAAATCGGGTAAGTGAATTTGAGGGTCGTACGAATTTGAAGGCTTAATGCGTTGCATTTATTTGAGATTAGCAAACAACGCGAAAACTCGCACTAGCGTTGATTTTGAATGCTTCTAATATTAACTAAAATCTTTTTGTAAATACTATATCATATAATATAGATTAGGTAAGCTGCGATACGTCTTAATCGATCCGTTCTCGAATTGGGCTCTTTACAATTATTCATCCTACTTTATCCTCTCAACAACTACTTTTAGCAATTCTAAAGATCAATGCTAAAGAACTCCTGGAGGTAACCGATGATGGCGCATTTATCCACGTGCTTAAATCTTATTTCGCGACACTCGATCAACCTGCATATCCAAAAAGTCGAGAATTACGTGACGTTAACAAATTTACCGAGTTAATGACTATAGCATATAGAGATTTCTCTGCGATAACCGATGAGAAAGTTGCTGAACTACGCAAGACAGAACAACTCAAAGTAGTACATAATATCGAAAGCTTTACAAAGCGAAGTCAAATACGTAACCTTAAAAATACCTCGAAATTCACAAAAGATAACTTGTCTATAATTTATGATAAGTTCTACACTGCGCAGTTCTACGGGTCGCAAAAGAGTACGCGTACCGACAGCCGAATGGATCTAAATACTTTTTATCAGTTTATGGGGAGTGTTGCCTCCTGGGCGAAAATGGACGACGGAGAGCTAACGAATGGTGAGGATGTACGTGATCGTCATGGCCGTCGAATAGTAGGCCATCAATTTATCATCAAATTGTTTACGCACTTTGATAAATCCAACAATGGCGGGATTTCACTGCAAGATGCAGTTGTCGGGTTAGCAGGGATTCTATTCACAGATATGATGGGAACAATCGAGTTGTTCTTTAAACTACATGATGTTGATCAAGATGGAAATCTGTCAAAGGAGGAAGTGTTACAGATGGGAGAAAGTCTGTTGTTCATTTGTAGGGAAAGAGAAGACGACGGTCACTTAGGATCAGTGTCGAATTTTATCAGAAGGGCTTTTGAGTATGCTGACGTCAAGTCCGAAGAGTCTGTATTCAATTCATCGCTGCAAACCCCTGCAGCAATTCCTTCTCCAACATCCGCTCCAGATCTTCTACTTTCACTTCCCTCGTTCCGTATGGTCGTGCTTGCTGATGAGTATTTGGAACATTTCTTCGACCACGGATTTGCTTCTTCGATCAATCTCTCTGAACCAGTTGAAGAACGATCGAAAGGGCTCAGTAGGGAGATATTCAATGCGTTGTTCGCTGAAGGGAAAAATCTGGCTGAGAAAGTTGGGAAGAGAATTATTGGCGGACCTTATTATAATAATAATAATAGTGATAGTTACAAGAAAAAGGATAAATACGAAGGGAAGGGGGCGGAAGAGAGTGAAGAGTTATTGAACGAGAAAATGGATGGTAACGGCACCCATGATAGTAACGAGTTTATCAACGATAGGGCAAGAGATAGATCAAGTAGTATTGGAGATGGGGATGATGAAAATTTGCTTGACGAATTTGACAAGCTTTTGAACAGTATGGAAATTAATGGTGAGTGTTACGAATAAGAAAAGGGAAGACAGAGTGGATTATGCTCTTTATTATATGATCTTACAGTATTGGTTTCGGTATTTCCAGTAGCTGATTTAGATGCTGGACAGTCATCTAATGGACCGTCTGGTAAGGCATATTTACATATGAATCATAGTCGCTGTATGCTTTGTATTCCCGACTTATCTTTCTCATCTTGTCGCAGAAAATGAACATGATTTGGACAAACTTCTTGCCGGGATGTGATTGAAGTAATGTTATTAATAACCTCGGAAAAGGTAAAAATCTGTCATTAACATATTACTAGATCATCTGTAGACAATATCTATGACTATATAATTATTTATTATTGTGAGAAACAGTTTATGCTACGTGTATTTTCAGTGTATATAAGATGATAAAGATACGTATTACTTGAACTGTTCAATGAGTGAAGATATAGTTGTTATGAATATCAGACTATTGATATCATTTCGGCGAGTTTATCATAAAAGTCAAAAGCATTGACAGATGATGTGTCTTTGCTCTGTTATAACGTCTTAAATGTAGTATCCCATGATAATAGACATACAATTCTCATTAATAGTCAGCAGTTCCGTGTATAAAGAACTCGAATCTCCAAAGATTTTGTCCAAAGGCCCTATTAAAGTGTCGTTAGTATGTTTGATTCTTTATTAAGAGTCGATTGAATTCCAAGCTCGTTAGCAAAGGGCAGACACGCTTTCTATTATATGCAGCCATAATATCACCATGTTTCCGAGGTCAATTTCTTTTTGGTACGCAAAAATAAAAATAGATCAGTGGTTATAGTACGAAATTTATCCGTTTTGGTCAAAATTAAAATGGGCCTTATTGAATAAATATATACACAGTCAAACCTAATACTATGACTCAATCTTTAGAACCGGATGAGAATTCATTTGTTATCGAAAAATTACGCTTCGCTACTCAATACGCCTCGTTTGACTGCGCGCGAACCTCTTTAGTCTGATATCTCATTTGGTAATAACAGCCAATCGAGCTTGTCAATCAAAGGATGACATTATAACTTTGGCAATGTGAATTCTGGTCAAATATAACTTTTTGTAGCCTTGATGAATAATTCCGACAGAAACGCAGCTTCAAGTAATGCTAAAGGCTACTACGTGGAAATACAGAATATGAATTTGGACACTCTCAATAAATTACTTCGTGATACGTCAGGACACTCACTTTATGCTATGATATTAGAGCGACCATCACGTCGTACATTAACGGTAATTCTTGCGTCTTTTGCTAATTCTATTCTTCTTTTTCTATGGATTTAAAGCACGAGAATTTAGACAGAACCCGCTATTCGAAACTCTTTTTTTAAGCGTGTGCATTGGTTCTGGTCACATGGAGGGTTCGCTCAAGTGTCGAAAGTAGGAGTATGCTCGACGTACAGTTCGGTGCATCAAGTGCAAAGATATCGGGACGTTGCGTCGCCTTCAGCTAATATATGCAGATTTTCTTGCATTGTTGTCTTAAATACAATTGGTCTATTTCTTACAGCCGTTACTATGTGTCCGATTTTATTCAGACGAAAAAAGCAGATCTAGAGAAGATTGCAGGCAGATGATGATATACTAGAGAATGCTTCTTCGATCCGAGATATTTTTGTTGCAATCAGCTAGTATATGCTCAGACAGGTTGGGAATGGGACAAATCAAATGTTATTTCGCATGGTTTTATGAACAGAGCAGTTCCTGGCACATATAAGTGGCATACTTGCGTATGGCAAGTTTATTTGTCTTGCATCGTTACGCGTCAAGGCTATGTTGAGGGATTGATGATTCATCGCTCGCGTGATACCATCGATAAGCAGCGGAATGAACTAAAGTTATAGTTCGTCAGAAATTTTCTTCAATCGAAAGATTTCGAGCAGACGTGGGCTCTGCTTTTATCGCAGCTCCAGGATTCTTGTCTGCATTCTAATCTTGCTTCATTGGCCGACTGCATGGGAAAAAATTGGGATGAGTATGAAAACAATGCCAGGAAGCGCGGCCGGCGCTGAATTGGCCATGAAGATTCACCGCCTAGAGCTCGAATGCAGCTATGAATTTTATTCAGGAACGAACTCATTACCAGTTTCATAAACTTTAAGGTATCTTTTTAACTCAATCCATATTGACATACATATCGTATTTAATTTATTAATTGTAACCCCTTGAATAAAACTCGTATAAACTGTAATTCAAAGAATGTTTGAGTCGCTAAATCATAAGCATTAATATTGTAGATTATATATGAACAGAACCAATTGTTGTCTTCGCAACCGTCATTAAATCCAAACTACAGTATCTCTTTTACTAACTCCCTTACTCATCGTCAAACTCCCCTAAATTTAGCAAGCTGAAATCTGATAAGGGAGGTAACTGATGAGAATTATTTCTTGGTTTAGGCAGACCTCCAGTAGGTAAGAGCGTACTAGAATATTTACTCTCTTTCTCGAGACGTGATAAGGGTTTTACATCATTATGATAAACAGCATTCCACGCGTTGTCATCAGAAATGTCATCATTAATAAGCTTTATATCAAAATAAAGTCTCCTTGCATCTGGACGCTTATCAGGATCAGCATCACAACACCGCTCGGCAAGTTTCTTGTATCCCTCTGGTGCGGAATCA